CCGGTAATTATCTCTCTGGTATCCAAAATATCTGAGCAATATCTTTAGATTAATACAAATTTTGTTTTTTAAATTATGTTTGATAAAATATAATTTCATATTTAAAATGTGAACAACATACTCGTTGCTTTTATAATACAGACTGCAGAAGGTGAATTTCAGGAAACTATTCTTATCTAGTAGATTCTGAGTGTGAGGAAAAGGCTTTGAAACATTGTTCTGTTTGACCTCTGATTATTTAAATTTTTCTTTTTTAATTCTGTGGCATGTGTGCTTTTTATGGTGAGTGACCTCAAATTCCTTCTGGAAGTAAACGGGGAATAAATTAGAAACACTGTGACTCAGATCAAATGCAATTTGTGGAGTTTAATGGCTAGATTCCTGCCCCCTGCCCCACCCTAGTTGGAGAGCACTCCTTTTCAGGGGTTCATCCTGGGAAACAAAACTCAGGGGCTGCCCTTCCAGATGTCCAACATGACAATGCCGCCTAGCCCCAGAGTCCCTTCCTGGCTCTATAATTTCCATATCCCCTTCTCCAACTCTTCTCCCCACAACCACAGTCTTAGCATTTAACAATTAGCAACAAATTGCTAATTTAGGAATTAGCCCTAAGTATCCTGGGCTAATCTTTGAGCGCACATTAATATCTCTACGTTCTTCTTCCTCTTAGGAAAACCATGTAGCACTGTGCATATGGTACACAGTGAAGGAATCTTAGATAATGGGAATAATGGTAATGCATCTTTCAAGGAACTTTCTTTATTCAAGGGATTAATATCAATTGTTAGAATTTCAAGAATTGGGTCAAGTCAGTCAGAATAAATTCCAGGCAAGGCAACCTTTCAGTTCCCTTCAGTAAGCACTACGGAGGCTGGTTCAGAATCTACCACTTCCTACCATTTGCAATACTTCCCCCACCTCCAATTTTACTTTTTCTTTCTTGCTCTCCTTCTTTAAAAAGCCTTATTCTATTATTCAAGTTATTTATTTCATATTTTACCCAACTTTGACTTATTTCTGGAACATTTAAAGAAACTTCCTGATCCTCTAGGTCCTAGTTACAGTGGCGGGGGGGGGGGGGGGGGTGCAGAAAAAGGAAACCTGACTCGTAGATAATAGGATTTGAGTCCAGTTGCTTATTTTAGCATCTTGATGGGTAAAGAAATTGCTGTGAACTGAGATCCTGAGCTCTATAGTAAATGATATAGCATTGAAGTTGTACAAGTTTGCTGAAACACTGCTGTGATCACTAGTTTCCTGAGCTATGAGTATGACAATGTTTATCAATTTAAATCTAACAGGAGAATTCATAAAAACACACTGGATACAAGGGATCGGGGGAAAACATACCCAGAAACTTCTTGACAATATTTTGAACATTGCTATAGGCACTCACATCCATATTCTCCTGTATCATTATGGAAAACTAGCTTGAGCTAATAAAAATATTTGCCATCTTATTTCACAGAAAACTAAATGGAATTGTGAGAGACAGTGACAAAAGCCCTTTTGGAAATAAATAAGAATAAGCAATGTATATACATCAGTCTCTTAAAGGTTTAAATACGTTCTTCAGAGCGGGATCCCCCAGAACTACGGCTCCCAACCTTCTTTGATTCCACTACTGTTCCAACAACCTCAAGAGCAATCCGTCCTGTTACCCCTTCTCACAGGACAAAAAGAAAAAAACATTCTTCTCTCTGCCCTATCCAAGTGGGTCACTGCTGCTTTTCTCTTTGTTCAGCCTTTCTTACAGAGGTTTGCAAAGTTCTGATGTGGTTCACTGCATATTCTAAATGCTGGAAGTGGTTACGGCCAAAGGTCAGAGAACACGGCTATTCAGCGGGGATGGGATATGTCTGGGAAAGACACAGGCTGAGATTTAGGCCACCTCTGGGGAGATGATTTGCGTTTACTGGATACTTACTGTTTATTGGTATTCATGCTTTTCTATGATCTTTTTTAATGTTCTAAATTAAAAGTGGTATTTTAAACATCTTAAAGGTGATTTGCAATTTTTTTTTAAAAATAAAAATGATCCAATCATCCTATAAACAGCAGAACTGCCATCTTCTGTAAATAGAACTGGCAAGTATTTCATCAGTCTTAAAATATCACCTCCCTTGATTTCCTACCACCCTCCCACCGATGCCTCCCTTTCCTTCCCTGAGTTCCTTAAAGCAACACTCCAGAATGCTCTAGTCCTGGGCCTCAGTATCCCATGTTAATGCTAAAGAGACTGGCAGAAGCTGGCTTGAGGAGGTACCCAAGGCTTATTGTTTCTCATGGGCTGTCATGAATGCGGCCGGGGTTCTTAGTTTTCTTTTATTCCCCATGACTTAGGGAAGAAGAGCACTCAAACTTTAGAAAATGGATAAAATAGCAAAATTTGAACCATGGGTAACGTCCTCCCAAGCTTCAGGACTTAACCTAGATTATTCTATTTTCCTGAGCACAGGACCAACAGGAGCTGCTTACAGAGTTGGAAGGAGGGCTTTCCTGAGTAACGAGCTTCAAAAAAGAGGGGAAGAAATAAAATAATGGAATATTCTGATGCTTGAGTAAAATCCTAATTTTACTTTGCCATAATTGGCATCATCCTTGCTTATAGAAGCCCTCGACTTCGACTTTGAGCAATTCTCAAAAAAGGTACTTCCACCCTCTCACCATCTGCATGGGCAGTCAATGGAATTCTGAAATACAAACAGCCACTTGGAGGTTTAATTATATTGGTGAGGTGCCTGGAAAACGCTCAAAGATTAAGAATCCCAGTTTCCCTGGGCATGGTACAGCCATCTTTCTTGTGGTGGGACAATTTAAATCCATCCATCCTTCCTATAGGTATATAGCTATCAAGCAGTGACTGTAGTTTTCTACAACCACAAATTTCTCCCTTCTTCCATGAGAGAACCTTAATTCTCAGGTAGGCACAATTCTGCCTGGAATAAAGATTATATTTGACAGATGTGGCCACATGGCTAAGTTCTGGTCAGTATTATGTAACAGAAGTTTGTGGCATATCTGCAAGGGATCCTTAAAAATAAGGAGTCACCTTCTGCTGCCTAGAATGTAGATTTTATAACCGGAGCTCCAGCAGCTACCTTGGACAACAAAGTGACCAACCCTGAGTACAGAAGCCAAATGTTGATAATGGAGAGCAGAAGACCTGAGCCTAGGTCCCTGAGGATACCCCAGTGAGCCACCAAACCACCCCCCTCGTCTACCTACCCCAGCATTCATCTTATCAAATCTCTTGTATCCAGTGTTAAGTTGTTTGATTTATGGAAACTGAACAAAATTTTAACTGGCATGCCTATCACACAGTCCATGGAGCCTGCCTGGTCTGGACAAGAAATTAAACTCTCCTCCTCTGCAGAAATTTTTTCACTTCATCTAAAGATTATATACCCAAAGAGAACCCATAAGAAAACACTAGCCTAGAATCATTCCCACAAGAGCAAAGGCTTGAGATCAGCTCTGCCTTTGCCCATTGTCCCCAAACCCAGGTAGACAAGTCGACCACTTGAAACCTAATTAAAACAGCACCCTGGGTTTACGATGGAGCCCACTGTCCATGAGAGACTGGGCAGAGGCCACCAACTTCATCATTCAGGCCCCAACCAAAGGGGACCTACAGTATAGCATGACATCCCTGCACACAACTACTAACCCCTTTTGCTTCACCACCGTAATCAATAACAATACATTATTAGGACCATAATGGTATACTGGGATGGTGCCTTCTGGTTTTACAAGTCCTCATGGGTATAATAAGATCCTAAATATAAAACAATATTAATAATAGTGCTAACAATAGCTATCACTTACTGTTCAATACCATATGACTGCTGGTGTGGTATTTCGCTAGCACTCTGACTGAAACATATTATCTGAAATTCAAAATATTATTATCCTTATTTTACCGAGGAGGAAACCAAGGCTCTGAGAGATAATGAATTTAGCTAAGACTATGCAGCCAACCCATGGCAGCGGTTACTGCTGAAACCAGAATTTTTCTATGAACTTAAAAATATTCTAGCAGCACAATCATTTCACCCAAAATGTTAGATAAAATAATCTCAAGAAAATCTGTTTTTCTCGCTTCAGAACTACAATAAAACATTCTAATCTTACCCCCATATTAACATGAGCATTTCTTAAAACAAAGCAAAAGACCCAACAAAAGCATGATAGAATTTGTCCACAAATGGTAAACAGTGCTAAAATACAAATGAAGCAAATCAAAAAAGTTTTGTTTTTTTTTTTTTTTCTGAATTTCACCTTTTGCTAACAGTTTCAATTTCAGGGTGACCTATATGTTTTCATAACAAGGGTCACTATGCACCTTTTAATCCAAAAACATCAAAACTAAAAAGAAACCCTTATAATAACATGTTCTTGTATAATTACATCTCTTTATGCCATTTCTTTTGAAACAGGTCTATTTCCCACCTCTTTCTTGAGCTTCCACTTTCATAAAAGGAAAGAACACGGAAAGAAATCAAGCCCTTAAAACATTCATTGAAAACATCAAGCAATTTATCTAGGACTCAAACAATAAATGAGTTAAAAAAACAAATGAGGGGAAGAAATGAATCTTTCTATTAAAAATAAGATGTGCAAGTATGAATGTTTGTGTTTCCAAGCTATTTCTAGTCTAAAGAGCTATGTCAAATATGGTAATTATATCAAAGGTTTATCATTAGAACTGTTAATATTTTCATGGGCTGCAGAAAGCTAAAGAATTAAAATTTGCCCATGAGAAGAAAGTCAAATGGAAGGTTAGAGCTCCCTCTTTCTTTTTCTTGAAGAAATTCGCCAAAGCCTCTCTCCTAGGAGACCAAAGTTATCAAGCAGACAGCTGAGGAGCACTCATGCTCAAAGTGTTTCCACAGTCTCCGTATACATGCTACAAGGATTGGAGTACATTTATTGACAGTTCATCATTCATAAGAGATTTAAGTAGTAGAAAAAGCACTTTTAAAAGTAGGAATACTCACAAAGCCATTTCAAACTGTTCCAGCCATTTTTTCTTTAAATCTTTTGTTTTGCAATAAAATTCTAACCCATTTTGTCCTTGGGTATGGATGAGGTAGAAGCCATAAGACCACTGTTGAAATTAATATTCCTCAGGTTAATATGTATCACTCAGTAATAACATCACGCTTCCAAATTCACTAAAACACCACCATAATCATCCACAAACCGCTCATAACATTAACAGCACACAAACTCTGAAGAGATTTTTGTAGTCAACTTTATAACAGTTCTTACGTTAAATGCATTATAGATGACCATTAAGGCATTAGAGATGATCATTATCAGTTGCGGCACTGTCCAATTATTTCTCACAGAGGCTTGCTCCTAATCAATCTCTAGAAAGAAAAATCACCTACATCGATAAGCCCTCTCACATTAATGTATTAGCATCCTTTCCTTGAATGGTCAAAGTTATGAGCAAATTATGGTAATTTTCAAAAATTCACCTTTTTATTTTCTTTATCAGTTGTAGGATTGTTGGCTATTTTGTATTGCTGAAGATCTATTATTTCCTTCATTTCATAGTTATCGCCTTTCCTTTTACATACAATCACTGCCAAATCAAATAAGAAGATATGCCTGAGAGAGAGAAAGAGAAATTTAAAATGGTTTGGAAGCATGTATGTTAACTTTTCCTTGGTAAAATTTAATTAAACCAACCAAACTTGTTTCTTTGAGTTAAAGACAAAGGCAGTATTCCATACTGAAAAGAATGAACTGTACATAACCTGGCACTACCCTTTACGGAATGAATGGCCCTACTCTACCTTAGTTTCATTTTAAAAATATGCAAAATTATAACAAGAACATACACATTACAGAGTTGCTATAAGGAAGAACTGAGATAAGCCACAAAGTGTCCAAGGAGCAATTTTTTTTTTCAGTTTAAAACCTAGACATTTACAGAATACTAATGACAACAATAGCAGTGAACTTCTGATGTTTCGAGGAGTCGGCCAAAATGTGTTGAGAAGTGTCCATCCCTTTCACAAAGATGACTCAATTTAAATCCCCAGGACCATCTGCCAAGGTATTATTTTCATCTTTATTTTATTGGGGAGGAAACTGAGGATTAGAGAAGTTAAATAATTTGCTCAAGGTCACATAGCTAATGAGGGGCAGAGCAGGATTCACACCCAGATCTAATTGTGGAACCTGCACTTTTACCCTCTATGTCGCTCCTCGTGATTTTATGGACCACCTGAAACACAAATTGAGCAGCATATGAGCAAAATGCAAATTAGAAAAATTATGGTTATATTTATGTGTTGATATTTCTCTTAATTTTTAACAACAATGTAACTGGGGGAGAAAAACAAACTTGTAATCCTATCATCCAATACCAATATTTTTATCTTTTAGAAAATTCTCAGGAATTAACCTGTATACATTTTAAAATGATGATAATGACAATGATACAGTCACATAGCTCTAATACTTGCATCACTTTCAAAGACTATTTTCCTGGAGAGGCTGAAAAGGGTATGTCTCTCCTGGGAGCTACCTGTAGAGCCTGGTATCAAGTTGGAAGAGCTGACACTGCCCCCTGCTGGCTAATTTTCCTGGTTCAAAGTTTCCAGCAAATGGCCATTTTAACCAAATGAATCAGTTTAGCAATCCTATGTATATAATTCGGGATACCAGGCCAAGCTCACTAACCCGAACTTCCCTCAAGAAAATATCGCGAAATGATCCCCACTCAGACTTAATTCTTAGGGCATTTTTTATTTTTAGTTGTTTTCAAATGTATACCCAAAAAAAGCAATCAAACAATTGTGTTGTCTATTACTTTATCTCTACTCTCATTTCAGTGTGTCCCTCTGAGCCTCAGCAGACATTTTATATTTGTCATATCCCTCTTAAGAACTTAGACAAATCAACAGATACCAAAACAGAGGAAAAGACCTAACATATCTATGAGAAAATTGTAGAAAACCATAGGTTGGTCTGTCCCCTTGTTTTTCTTCCTCTGCTTCCCTCCTTTGTCCTAGAATTGTTTTCTCAATCTTCTGATACTAACCACTTATTCTGAAAATAAGTATTGCTCTTCTTTTCTCACCTTTCTTGTTTCGTATGCTTGTCTAGGGTGGTTATTCGAATTTCACCATCTCCCTGAGGTCGTCCAAAAAGCAAAACTGGTTGGTTCTAAAATATAAAATTTACATGTCTCAGCTTTTCGTAATCATGTAAAAACAGAAATAAATATTAGCGAGGATATTTGCTAGGGACAACTACTTTATTACAAGTTTTATCATTTCACATTTTTAGCACCATTAGTCTAAAAAGCTCAGGTCTATATGATTCACTTTCAAAAACAGTCTGTCCTTGGATAGCCTAGGAGGTATACTGAGGACATTAATTTTACTTATAACTTAATAGGGAAGTTAGCTACCAAAAGCAAGAATTAACTGGAAGAATTCAAATGATAACAAAGTTACAGCAACTAATACTTATTAAGCACGAACTGTGTGCCAGACATGGTAGTAGATATAGGGCAAAGTTTCCCCCTGCCCAGTGGGGGGGGGGGGGATATTTACAGAAGTATATAACTATAAATGTGAAATTTCCATGAAGAAAGAGTACAGTAAACATGCATTGCCGGGGGCTTAATTTGTTCTAGGAAGTCAAGGATAGCTTCCTTGAGCTAAGATCTCAAGAACGAAAAGTATGACTTAATGATTAAACATAATGAACCATTTTCCCAGAGGCAGACACTAAAAAATATTAAGTATTTATGAACACCTACTGTACAAGGTGTTAAGGGGAAAGAGAATTGACTGAAAATTATCACTAACATCTAGGAGATTATATTCTAATAAAGGAAGCAGATATGTAATTAACTGTGCTGCAAGAAAGTATAAAAACAGATATTCCCTATTAAAGTTCCCATGATGTATTTTGCAGAAAGAGAAAACTCATCCTAAAATTCATATGGAATCTCAAGGGACCCTTAATAGGCAAAATAATCTTGAAAAAAGAACAAAGTTGGGGTCTTAGTCTTCCTAATTTCAAACCTTATTATAAAACTATGGTAATCAAAACAGTATGGCACTTGCATAAAGACAGACTTCTAGACCAATGGAACAGAACACCTGGAAATAGGCCCTCATGGAACCCTCCTACACTGTTGGTGGGAATGCAAGCTGGTGCAGCCACTCTGGAAAACAGTATGGAGTTTCCTCAAACAGTTGAAAATAGAGCTACCATACAACCCAGCAATTGCACTACTGGGTATTTACCCCAAAGATATAAACGTAGGGATCCGAAGGGGTATGTGCACCCCGATGTTTACAGCAGCAATGTCCACAACAGCCAAACTGTGGAAAGAGCCAAGATGTCTATTGACAGATGAATGGATAAAGAAGATGTGGTATATATACACAATGGAATATTATGCAGCCATCAAAAGGAATGAAATCTTGCCATTTGCAACAACGTGGATGGAACTGGAGGGTATTATGCTGAGCAAAATAAATCAATCAGAGAAAGACATGTATCATATGACCTCACTGATATGAGGAATTGTTAACCTCAGGAAACAAACTGAGGGTTGCTGGAGTGGTGGGGGGTGGGAGGGATGGTGTGGCTGGGTCATAGACATTGGGGAGGGTATGTGCTATGGTGAGTGCTATGAATTGTGTAAGACTGTTTAATCACAGACCTGTACCTCTGAAACAAATAATACATTTTATGTTAAAAAAAAAAAAAAAGAAGAAGAAGATAGCAGGAAGGGGAAAATGAAAGGGGGGAAGTAGGAGGGGGAGACGAACCAGGAGAGACTATGGACTCTGAGAAACAAACTGAGGGTTCTAGAGGGGAGGGGGTGGAGGGATGGGTTAACCTGGTGATGGGTATTAAAGAGGGCACATTCTGCATGGAGCACTGGGTGTTATACGTAAACAATGAATAATGGAACACTACATCAAAAACTAATGATGTAATATATGGTGATTAACATAATAAAAAAAAAAAAAGAAATAGGCCCTCGTATATATGGTCAAAGGATTTTTGAAAACAGTACCAAGATCATTCAATGGGGATAGCATAGCCTTTTCAACAAAAAACTCTGGGGAAACTAGATATGCATAGGCAAAAGAATGAAGTTGGACCCTTACCTTATATAGTATACCACATTGATCAAAGAACTAAAAATATAAAACCCTTAGATGAAAACACAGTAGCAAAGTTTTATGACATTGGATTTTGCAATGATTTCTTAGATATACCACCAAAAGTACTATCAACAAAAGGCCAATAAGTTGAAATTCATCTAAATTAAAAATTTTATGCAAAGGATACTATCAACAGAGTGAAAAGGCAACCTACAGAACGGTAGAAAATACTTGCAAACGAAATGTGTGACAGGAATTGATATCCAGAATATTTAAAGAACTCTTATAACTCAACAACAAAAAACAAGCAAACGTGATTCAAAAATAGGTAAAAGACTTGAATAGACATTTCTTCAGAAAGATATACAAATGGCCAAAAAGCATATGAAAAGATACTCAATATCCCTAATCATTAGGGAAATACAAAGTCAAAACCATAATAAGATACTACTTTGTACCCATTTGGATGGATATTAAAAAAAAAAAATTAGGGAGGGCGCCTGGGTGGCTCAGTTGGTTGAGCGACTGCCCTCGGCTCAGGTCATGATCCTGGAGTCCCGGGATCGAGTCCCACATTGGGCTCCCTGCTCAGCAGGGAGTCTGCTTCTCCCTCTGACCCTCTTCCCTCTCGTGCTTTCTATCTCTCATTCTCTCTCTCAAATAAATAAATAAAATCTTTAAAAAAAATTAAAAAAGAAGAAAAGAATAGAACAAGTGTTGGCAAGGATGTGGAGATACTGGAATTCCTGTGCATTGCTGGTGGGAATGTAAAATGGGGTGGTCACTGTGGAAAACAATATGGCTAGTCCTCAAAAAATTAAACCTAGGATTACCATACAATCCAGCAATTCCACTTCTGGGTAAATAACCAAAAGAAGTGAAAGCAGGGAGTCAAGCATATATTTGCATACCCATGTTCATAACAGCATCATTCACAATAGCCAAAAGGGGGAAGAAATCCAAGTGTCCATAGACAGATGAATGAATAATCAAAATGTGAGGTATATACAATGTTATATTTTAAAGCCTTAAAAAGGAAATTCTTTAAAAAAAATCAAATTCTGATACATGCTACAAGGATGGACACTGAAGACATTATGCTAAATAAAATATGCCAGTTATAGAAGGACAAATATTACATGATTCCACTTATATGAGATACCTAGAGTAGTCAAATTCACAAAGACAGAAAGTAAAATGGTGGTTGCCAGGGGCTGGGAGGAGGGAAGAATGGAGAGTTAGTGTTTAATGGGTATAAGGGCTTCAGTTTCACAAAACGAAGAGAGTTCTGGAGATGGAAAGAGGTGATGGCTGCCCAAAACATGAATGTATTTAACATCACAAAATTGTATGTTTAAAAATGGTAAATGTCATATATATTT